TTTGAAACACCCTGTGGAGTACGTTAACAAATCAAGGAATTTAAAAATCGTTTAAAAATCATCTAAGTGTATCTTTTCTCGATAATTTCTTTTTTGATTCACATCAGTAGCATTAATTTTTTGGAGATGTTATTTATGGTTACTTACTTTGGAGATGACATTGAGATTTTTTCGAATTTTTTATTTTAAAGCAATGACTTTGCTTTTGATCTTGGTCAACAGACCTATACAGGGTGCTACAAATTCGAGGTACGAGCATTGGTATCTCGGAAACCGTAATAGATACGGAGATGGTTAAATTGGGACAAAGTTGCGCCTTGGGCTGTTCACCAAGATGCCATCAAAAAAGTTTTAAAAATTTCAAGGATTGCTAAGTTTTTTGGAAAAAACGGATTTTTTTTAAAACTAATTTTATTTTTTCCTGTGGTTACTTTTTAGAAAATCAAAAAACTAATTGCATATTCTTATAGCCACTTTATTAGGGCTATCTGAGAGTATTTTTAGATTTTTAAATTAGCTGATAATTTGTGAGCTACAGAGGCCAACTTAATTTTTTTAAATACGGACCTGCATTTTTTATTTCAGTTTTTGAAAGAGCTCAGTCTCCTAAGTACAGTGATATGCCACACTTTATATTTTTTTTTTGTTTTTGGTACCTTAACAACAACAAAACTATTTAATTATTATATTAAAAAAAAATCAAGTCCGACTCTGTTTTTTAAATTATTTAATCTGATTATATTCATTGCAACAATACTGATCAGTGCTAATTAATATTGAATAAGGAAAATTGAGCCAATTGAAAGATTCAAATAAATAATATCCAGATCAGCAAAATTCTCAGTGTACGATCTAATAATTTGCATAATATTAATCATTACAGTTGAGGGTTGGAACCTTTGGTGTTACACAGCAAAATAAAAACACTAAATCACCACAATACACCAAAACACTTTTACTTTTACACTGGACGCGCGTTTCGCTAACCATGTTAGCATCATCAGCAGATGATTATAAACTAAAGTACAATCTACAAGTTGAGCGTTTATATACTCGCTCAGTGGGCACCGAGTGGGCGTGGCAAAATCTAGCCAACCGAGTCAGAGCCAACTGAGCGTAACAGTTAGATTTCCGCCACTAGAGTAGTAGGAACAAAGAACTTGAAGGAATTGGACCGTTGTCTCTGTTCATACTATCTTTACATTTATTAATTCTGATGCTTTCATATGCATCTAATTGCCTGTAATTTGAGACTTGTTTATAACTCAGTAATTTTGTGAAAGAAACATATTATAGCTTATATCGTTGAAAAGCTTAAAAAATGGCGCTTTTTATGAAGTCATAGCCAACTATGGTTTCCATTTAAAAAACATATGTTTGTGTCATATGTCAAAAATGACAGGTTTTATAAAAAATCGGAGAACACAAACTCATTAGGGATGTGATTATCTACAACTTTTATCTGAACACTTTTTGTCTAAATTAGATTGTAATGGAATTAAGGACAATTTTTAAAATAGCCAAAATTTGTTTTTTTCGAAATATCTAGTAAGCCATGAACTTTTTCAAAAATCTGAAAGGCGCATATTTATGACCCCACAAAACTGCAATTCTTTCCCCATTTAACCGACTCTCTATCTCCAGCAGTTTCCGAGATGCCCATAGAGAACATCGTAGGAAACTCACCCTGTATAATAAGCTGTGATATTAGTATGAGTATAATATCCGGAAGGCGAATAGAAAAATCCCAAAGCCCTAAGGGTATGCTAGGGACTGATTTAGTAGAACATTTTGGGTTGAAAGGACGAAGTTATACATCATAATAACATAAATCATAATTCCCATTACCGTTTTAGTCAAATAATGATAAATACTCGTATAAATGTAAATAAAAAATATTAATATATTTTTTTTCTAGATGAAACGTGAGATGTTTTGAATATTTTATATTCCAAACATCTAGTTTATTCTTATTAACTCTCAACAGTGCAATTTTTATATTCACACTTTTGTTTGCTGTGCACCAAACTAAAAATTGTAACAATATCTCGTGCAAATTGAAACTACCCGCCGATACATGTTCAGGTCGTAAATCTAGCCACCTCAACAAAATAAATAGAAAGAAAACTGAATCTGACGCCACCTGCATGAAAAATGCGAACTAATCTGACTGCAACAATGCGGAAAATAGAATACGAATGGTTTGTACGATATTCAAAGCAATAAAAGATAGTATATGGTACATTCGCATAGTTTGGGTGGGTTATCTATAACGTATAAGGTCGACATTTTTATAACATGTCACTGATATTACTGTCCATGGGTATTTGGCTAACCTTAATTCTTAGCCAATGACTAATTAAATATTACCTATGTTATTTTAGACGTAACAACGATTTATTAAGAATCAGAACTTTTATTTGTTACGATTGATTAATTTTTACCAGTTCTTTTAGTTACAAAGTAGGTATATGTAGCTGAACAATTAAAAAATAAAAATCCTTTCTTTTGAAGATAGTTGTACATTTTCAAATACCTTAATTTGAAATATATTATACCAAAGCTTATACTCATCACTAACTTTGACGTTTAGGTAATACCTATGACCGAGCCTATCACTTATCTTTGACATAACAGATTTTCACTCTAAAAATTTTAATATCTTTTTTCTGAAAACTATTTAATTTTAGATATAGAGCGTTTCCTAACAAAATTTATCAGAAGCAAGGATCATCGGCATCCTATCTTGGTCCAGAGCCAGTACTGGGAATACCCAAATGGATGGCCCGTAGTGCACTAAAACTCTGGATCAGGGAAAAGCAGAATGTCCACTGGAGAAACAGACAGGGGCACAGACACAGCACGGCCTTTATCCAATGACCTAGCTCTAAAATCGCAAAAGAACTGCTATTACATGTATACATTAACAGTCCTCTTTACAGGACATGGTTGTCAAGTGTTACCCGAACAAGCTGAACCTGTATCAAGGAAGTCTTTGCTACAGACTTTGCGATAAAGATCTTGAAACAGCGGAGCACATAATGGCACTGCGAGGCTCTGGATCGCAAGCGACACATTTTATTTGGGAAAGACATTTACTATGCTCCCATCCTATCAAGAACCTGCATAAGTTAGTGCAGGGCACAGGGATAGGAGAATGGGTGCAGATAGAGAAAGGGAACAAACACAATAGGCCTCACATTACGCAGTGTTTCCGGCAGAGGTCGGCCCCTTGTTATGGAAAAAAATGTATCGAATTTTACAAAGAACTTAAATTTTTAAGAAAAACTGAGTGTATGGATTTGAATAAAAAATAATACTATCAACAGTCGGTATTTCTACAAGTATTCCTACAAGTGTGAAAATATTTTTAATTGAATGGCCCATTACAAAACCCAAATGAGACAAGACTTCCTACCCTATATATTGTTTAGTTCTTTGCTAATTTACCTTTCCTTATATATTTTTGAAATACAAACAATGGCGATGTTTTAATGCCGTATAATCTTGTATGATACGCTGATTTACTTTTTACGCAATGATCTATAACGTCCTTGTTTTTATTATTGTAGGACATTTAGTAGGGGGCATAAGAGATCAATCTGATTCCGGATTATACGATTTAAATTAAAGTGACATTAAATTATGAAAAATATCGCCAAAGTAATTAAAAATATATTTCATAAAAAAGTAGATGCTATAAATGCTTAATTTTGTATTATAATAATGTTAGATATACAGGTTGTTAACTCGACAGTTACTTATAGGGGAACAGAATGGCAACACTGCCTATTCAGAATGCATGAATTATTGATTTTTCTGCCGACTCGTCCCATCGCGTCGTCCGAGGTTGCCATATTTCAACCATAAAGCTCTTGCCGCGAGTAATGAACAAATTAACAACCTGTATACTACTTTTTGGTGCAATAATAAATATTGTCAAGAAGAAGAATTTTAAGATTTATCATTATAATAAATAAGTCAATATATCTATACTAATATATAAAATCCTTTGTGACCGAAGTGACCGACTCACTGATTAATCACGCGATCCTGCTCAAACCACTTAACGTAAGAAGCTCAATTTTGGCATACAGGTTGATTCTAGGGTGTAGAGGTTCGATAAGAAGGGAAATTTTCGAAATCCCAGTTCCAAGGGGGTGAAACCCCCCCCAAATATTACAATATTTTTTATTTAAAAAACGGTCAAGTTTCCGAAAAAACGCTTAAACACGTATATTTCATTTTAGTTTTTTTACAATTTTTTAAAAATGTATACAGGGAGTTTCGAAAAATCCGGTCATTGATTAATCATGATCCTGCTTAAAGCGCTTGACGTAAAAAGCTGATTTTTGGAAAACGGATTGACTTTAGGGTGTAGAGGTTCGATAAGAAGGGATTTTTCGAAACTAGGATTCTAAGGGGGTGAAACCACCCCTCAAATATTAGAATATTTAAACACTTAAACACGTATATTTGATTTTGTTGTTTTACATATTTTAAGATTTTTTAAAAATTTATACAGGGTGTTTTATAAAATATGACCACTGAGTAATCACGATTCTGCTTAAACTGCTTGAGGTTTAAAGCTGATTTTTGGCAAACGGATTGACTGTGGGGTTTAGAGGTTCGATAAGGAGAGGTTTCTCGAATCTCAAATTCCAAGAGGGCGAAAACGAACCTCAAATATTACAATATTTGTTATTTAAAAAACGGTTATTCTTTCGCATAATTTATTTTGTTTTTTACATATTTTGAAGTTCTTTAAAAAATCATACAGGGTGTTCCAAAAAGTTGGGTAATTGCTTAGCCACTATTATGGTTAAACTGCTTGACGTAAAAAGCTTATTTTTGGCAAACGGATTTTTCGAAAGTCAAATTCCAACTACAAATGATTAATTGCGGGTATGCGCTAGTTAAATAATAAAAGTATTTAATATATTGACTTATTGAATTTACGTTTATGGGTATCTTCCCTATGCATGTATTATTTGACTTACCTGATGACAATAACCGGCAAAAATATATTGGACAAAATCAGCGACGCATAAATGGCAGCCAGCGTGAACGTGCCGAGCGACGCTTCCGAATTGATGGAGCTCTGCAGGTTGGAGGCGCCCCAGAACGCCGTGAAATGGATCATAAAGGCGAATCCGATTACCAGCACGTTTTTCCATATCCTCCACGATTCGTTCGGCCCGTATATCGGTCCCTCCACATCTTCCTCTTCCGTTTTCACGCGCTGGAACTTGGAATCCATCACCGGTGGCGGCGGCGGCTGACCTCTGCTCATAAAATAAAAAGATAAAACTTTATTATTCGTTCGGATTTTCGTATGAATTTTTTAGTGCGTGATAAAGCAGGAAAAGAGATGTTTGTGGGACGGAAAATCTTGTTTAACGTTTCGTTACTCGCGAAAAACGGTACGCTATATTTGTGGCTCAAGACTATGATTATGCCGGGTCCAGACCAAAGCGACAAAAACACGATTTTGAGACAAAAACAAGACAAACTTGCGACAAAAAATGGGGAATTCAAACTTGAGACAAATTGTCCACATCGCAAGGGCAAAAGTACGGCAAAATTAAAAGTTTAGTTGATGCGAATGAGTTTTATTAACCATGTGTAATTTCACTGGTCTCCTACTGTTGACAGCACACGCCATCCACACTGCGCCGACAACTTGTTGAAAAATATACGAACAAAACATATACACTTTGATATTTTCCGACTCGAGACGGGACATTGAAAAGTCTCCGAATTTTGAAACAAAACAAAAATGCGACAAAAATGTCGCAGAAATATATTGGATTTGTCGCAATTTAGTCATAAAACATATTTTTTTCTGTTTTGTCTGCTTGGTCTATTCTTCTTCTTAAAGTGCCTTCTCCATTCAGTGAAGATCGGCAACAACCATGGCAAATTCCTCTCTATTTTTCGCTCTTCTCAGCAAAGTATGTGAGTCCAGGCCTGTCCAATCTCTGATGTTCTTCAGCCAGGAGCATTGCCGTCGTCCGGGTCCGCGCTTTCCCTCAATTTTACCCTCGATGATGAGCTGAAGGAATTCATACTTGCTATGTCTCATCATATGGCCCAAATAGGCTGCTTTCCTCTTTTTTATTATGTCGAGGAGTTCTCGGTCCTTATTCATTTGGTTTAGAACTCGTTCATTCGAGACACGGTCAGTCCATGGTATTCTCAGCATTCTGCGATATACCCACATCTCAAATGCTTCCAACTTATTCATTGCGCTTACTTTGAGTGTCCACGACTCAACCCCGTAGAGAAGTGTGGAAAGTACGTAGCATTTTTGCTTGGTCTATACCCGGCATTATATTTCAAATGTGGGGCACGATAATGCCCCCGTCAAGTCGAGCACAGCCGTATCATCCTTTCCTCGAAGGTACTAGCGGCACTTTCACCACCCTGTAACTTCGTTGTGCATAAAGCAAGATTATTAATTATCACTACACATGAGGACATACTATAGCTGGCTAGATTACCCAAGCAGCATTTGGACGTCGGGACAACATTGTGTCACGCGACCAAACGTCGGGGCGCAACGTCGGCACAGCCTCGTGCCAACCCTAGTCTACACTAGTTTAGAGAATAATTTTTGGGTCGAAACGACGTTGGATACCTACGTTGGCTAGAAGCCTAATTTAGTACAAACTGCAACGTTGTTTAAAATCCTAATTCACAGAAATACAAAACTAATATAATATGGCGTCTAAGTCGCGTTTTATCCTAAATTGGAATAGATATTAGAGTAAAAATATTATTTTTATGATTTAGTTAGAGACATATGCCAGATGGCAGTAAAAGAAAACAAAACAAAAGTATTTAAGTGTGGAGGATGTTTGAAGATTATAATTACTGAAACGCTTTAACCAACTATGTAACTCGTTACCCAAGGCAAAAAATTTAAACGCAAACAACTTTATTGATAAATGTATTGTTTCTGCTTTGAAAAATACTAATGGGCCTTAAAATTAAAGAAGTTTTAAAAAATTCCTTGAATTTTTTTTAGTAAAATCAGAATAATTTATTCGCAGTCGAAAAAAAAAATGTTTCCGCGTGTTGTTTAGGGTCAAATATTTCAAGTTAATGTATTCAAAAAGCAGGAATTGCTATTTTAGGAACAAAACATTTTCTTATTCAACAACATGGCGGCTTTCACTTTGTTGTTTTGGAGATTAAGCTGGAGTATAGTCGTATACTGGACTAATAAAGTCGCAGTTCAGCCTTAACGGGTAGAATACTAGACGCAAGATTGCCTAATTTAGTCATCCTACAGTTTAGCTTGTGCCGCCATCTATATTCTAAATAAACGAGGGAGTGGATAAACTATCGGTAATATGTCGATGTATATTTAAATTTAGTTTTATATGTGCCTTTCTTACGTCCCATTTTAATTAGGTTTTTTTATAAAAACAAAAACAGCACTGAACTGTCTGACTGAACAGAACAATGAAGTGAAAATTTAAGATTTAAGGTTATGGTTCAATATAGTTCCAAAAGGTAGTGGCTCGACGTTCTACCAACGCGCAACATAAAGCGGCCCATACATTATCAAACAAATTGCGCAACGCAGGCTGTTGCGCAACGAGTTGCCAATGTATGGTAGTGTTTGATGCCTCGCAATTGTTTGATGAGTTTCAAGAATGTTTAAATTCTTTTGTGCAACAGGACTGTTTGCGCAACGCGTTGTGTAGTGTATGTGTGTGTTGCGCTTCGTTGTGCAATATTTTAGTTCTTTCATCCAAATTCTTTGTTTTCTTTTTTGTTTTTGGGTATCATCGACATCATCTAGGGTATATATGATAATAATTGACGCAATGACAATTGAGGACATGATTGTTTCTCAAACAATACACAACTTTTAATAAAAAGTTTGATCAAAATTTTACTAAGTGCATGGGTGATGGAGTTGTGCAACGAAACGTTGCGCATCGATTTGTTGCGCAACTTGTTTGATAGTGTATGGACCGCGGAATCAGTTGTGCAACGCAGAGTTGCGCATCGCTTTGTTGCGCAATTTGTTTGATAATGTTTGGGCCGCTTAAGAATAAGGAAATCTAAACAACGTTGGAATTAGTAAAACAGACGACGTTTGCGCAACGTTGGAATAGGTCCTGAAAGTGACGTCGGAAAACTCTTTATTGCCCAACATTGTAACTACGTTGTCTGAATCACCTAGAGATCACTTAAGCAAGAAAGGTTACAAGACAACGTTTATTCGACGTCGCAGAAGCTTTTACTTTGTTGTAGTACTAGTTCAACGTCGGCACAACGTCACAACAACGCTTACATTTATTTTAATACCCAAGGTACGGAGCTAACTATATTTTGTAACTAATCCAACGCTGTGTTTAGTAAACATGTGGCCGCAAGTCGTGAAAATGCTACTTGGGTACCAAAATATCTAGTAATTATACCTCATAGTTTATGAATTATCGCTTGTCAAATTTATATATTCACTTCCTTCGCTTCAATATCGCCTGTATATGTTCACTTCCTTCTGCGATCGCGTATATATGTTGGAAGAATTGTGTTGCGAGAGTTTGCGTTTTTTACATTCTATGTTTTTGATGGGATTATATTTCAAATTACTTTTAGAAAAAATAACTTAATTATTGAACCTTTTGTCCTAGTTTACTGTTGAGACATATAATATACAAAGTTTTGTCTATTTTCCACGCTCTGCTTTTATTAGGAGACGCTCTTAAATTTATATGACCGATAAAATTTTGATGAGAATTTTACACCGTTATGTTCTTTTTTCTACTTTTACGTGTAGTGATATCTCCGGTTCATATCGTAAAGCTTTCATCCTTTAACACCCCTAAAAAGTTGCCTTTTTAAATTTGATTTTGAATAATAGTTTCGTCTCTAGATTTCCAAGTGCATTAATTCAATTTCAAGTATATACGGGATGTTTTTGACAAGTTACTTACCCTTAAGAGTCCATTTCACTAGTCCAAAAAAGTAGCAAAACAAGCGTTCGGCATTTAAAGTTTTATGTAAAACTAGCTAGGTATTTTTACACAAATGAAGAAGGAAATTAAAGATAAAGTATTATACTATATACGTATTGTAGCACGTTTTTAGACAACTTCTTTAGTTTTAAGATTTTGATTCCCAAACACCAACAAAATATTCCTTATGTTTGGACTAAATTTTCTCGAAAATCTATACTGATATATAAAATCCTTTAAGTGACTGACATACTGATTAATCACGATCCTGCTCAAACCACTCAACGTAAGAAGCTCAATTTTGGCATTCAGTTTGATTCTAGGGTGTAGAGGTTCGATAAGAAGGGGTTTTTCGAAATTCCAGTTCCAAGGGGCTTTAAAAAACGGTCAAGTTTCCGAAAAAACGCTTAAACACGTATATTTTATTTTGTTTTTTATATATTTTAAGATTTTTTAAAAATGTATACAGGGTGTTTCGAAAAATCTGGTCATTGACACTTGACGTAAAAAGCTGATTTTTGGAAAACAGATTAACTTTAGGGTGTAGAGGTTCGATAAGAAGGGATTTTTCGAAAATCGAATTCTAAGGGGGTGAAACTATCCCTCAAATATTCAAATATTTTTTTATTTAAAAACCGGTGAGTTTTTCGGAAAAACTCTTAAACACGTATATTTTATTTTGTTGTTTTACTTATTCTAAGATTTTTTATAAATTTATACAGGGTGTTTCATAAAATATGACCATTGAGTAATCACGATTCTGCTTAAACTGCTTGACGTTTAAAGCTGATTTTTGGCAAACGGATTGATTGTGGGGTGTAGAGGTTCGATAAGGAGGGGTTTCTCGAATCTCAAATTCCAAGAGGGTTGAAAACGCCCCTCAAATATTACAATATTTGTTATTTAAAAAACGGTTAGTCTTTCGGGAAAACGTTTGGACAAGCATAATTTATTTGTTTTTTTTACATATTTCGCCAAAAAGTTGGGTAATTTCTTAACCACGAGCAGCTTGACGTAAAAAGCATATTTTTGGCAAACGGATTTTTCGAAAGTCAAATTCCAACGAGATGAAACTACCCCTCAAATATTACCAAGTTATATAATAATATCGCCATATTGTTTTTTCTCATGCTGACATAAATGTGAGAAAATTTTATCCAGTTTGTATGTTAATGGAAATTCTTGCTTTGCTTTATCATCACCATTACTAATACTGGGGATTACTCACCATTGGAAAATACTGGGAGTCTTAAATCCGACTGTAGTCCAAACATATTCCAATTTTTTCGGCTAAAAGATACTAAAAA